AAAAAAAAAAAAAAAGAAATTAAGTAACTTGTACAAAGTCTCAAAAGCAGTCATAGAGAGCATGACCCAAAACATCTGAATGACTTCACTGGAAGGAAGAAACATTCAGTTTTTACTCCCGGCGAGAAGGAGGTGAGTTACAACACTGAATGACTTGGGAAAACATAGGAAGATGAATTTTGGCTCATTATAATTTCTGTGGTCCAGATTCCTAGTCATTTCTTCCCAGTGGGTTTCATGGGCAAAATTTATTTTTCCTTTCCTCTCAAAAAGAAAAACATTCTAAATTTCATCCTGAATAAGAATTTGGATTCAGAAGAGGAACCAGGATATTCAGTATTTTAATGCCTTATTTGAGTAAAACATGAGAAGCAGGAGAAGTGAGGAGTCTTTATTATCTGCCTTGTTCATATAGAGATAAAATCAGGAATGAATTTACTTAAATATCCCATTTGCATTAGATTGCCGAATGAGCAGTCCCCATTCATTAACCTTCCGTGACCCAAGGTGTCTTACCCTAAACCGAATGTATTTCAGAAGGTCAAAGTGCTCAGCAAATTCTTGGAGATAGTCCCAAAATTTTCCTTGGTTCATGTAATTTGGATAATCTTCTTGGAAGGGGAAGTCGCTGTAACATGACATCTCTTTGCAGACGTTTGTCACTAATGACCTGTAGACCCTGGTCATCCCATCTTTAGAAGTTTCCTGTGGTGAGAGCACAGTTAGCTTGATGGGGTGGGGGAGTCAGGAGGAAGAGAAAAGAGATCGTTAGCAGTCAGTGTTCCACTCACCATTCCAAAGAATTCCACGGAAATGCAGCACTGGGTCTCTATGCTATAGTTATCAGAAATCGTTGTTGGGATTGGACTTATTAAACATAGTATCTTTATCAAACTACAAAGAAGTTAACACATTTAACAGGGTTCTCCAAGACTAACAATGCCATTAAGCGATTCCATGAACATGGGGCCTATGGTCTCCCTTGCTTATTTTTTTCCCCTTCTTTGCCATCCTCACTCCCTCAACTCATGCCCTAGACCTCTTTCTCTTCACTTTACTCAGAGAACTCCTCACTGATTTTTATATTTATCGTCTATGTATATTTTCAATCACTCTCTCTTTATTGGCTCCTTCCCATCAGCACTTAAAATACTGAAGACTCTAATTTTTAAAAACAAAACAACACTCCCTTTCAACCTATATCTATTCCCTTTCCAGCCTTGTCTCTCTGTGTCCTATATCAATCTTCATGAAAAAAATCATCACATACTGGCAGCCTCTGTTTTCTCATCGACTCTTCAACTCACTGTTGTCTTGTCGCAACCTCACACACTCAAAAAACGTACTAACAAAACAAAAACATGCATATTAAAAGCACCGATGGGGGCACCTGGGTGGCATAGTTGGTTGAGCATCTGACTCTTGGTTTCACCTCAGGTCATAATGCCAGGGTCACGGGATGGAGCCTCACGTTGGCCTCCGTGCCGGGCATGGAGCCTGCTTAGGATTCTCTCTCTCTCCCTCTCTCCCTCTCTCTTCCCCTGCCCCTCTCCCCAGCTTGCATGCTCTATCAATCTCTCTCTCTCTCTCTAAAAAATAAGGCCTCAATGAACTTCTGATGGCTGAAGCTAATCTCTATTTCTCTTTTAAGTATCTTTCTTAGCTGTCAATTTCCATAAGACGCCGTCTCTAAGGTAGCTGTTCCGGCCGCATAGCACCCTGCACTCTCAACACACCCTGATCACACTGCACTGTAACAATGTGTTTTACTGTTATTGTTCCCTACCAGACTGTAAGGAGGTCAGGGTCCTTGTCTATTTTGTCCCCATCCTGGTAGAGGGACATTATAAGCACAGGTACTCAGGTACTTGGTGAATGGGTGAACATCAATACTATCACTGCATTTTTGAAAAAGAAATAGTATATATATGACTGAAAGAAATTACATTGAAATTTATTATTATTATTATTATTTTAATTTGAGTATAGTTGACACACAGTGTTGCATTAGTTTCAGATGTACAACATACAGAGAAATTTTAATAGTGCAGGTATATAATTCTCATGGGTATTGATATTATATTTAATTTGTACTTTTCTTTTTGTTTAACTCAGTATTATTTTCTAAAATTTATCTATATTACTTTATTTCTTTTGAGAGAGAGAGAGAGAGAGAAAGGGAGAGCGTGTGTGTGCACGCATGCACACACAAATGGGGTGGGCCAGAGGGAGAAAGAATCTCAAGCAGGCTCCACACTCAGCACGGAGCCCAACGTGGGGCTCGATCTCACGACTGAGATCACGACCTGAGCGGAAATCAAGAGTCAGACGCTTAACTGACTGAGCCACCTGGGCTCCCCTATCTATCTTACTTTAGGGGAAGAAAACCAAACAAACTGTGGGGTCAAATAGCAGAAGGGACACAAACCAGACCCAGTGTTTTCTGTCCACATTGACATTTGGCTCCATTTGGTTCCATCAGGCTCACAGTACAACAAGAGAAACTTTTCTCCTCTAGTACACTATAATCACAGGGCTGTGACCATTTCCGCTCACATACATTTGCTTATTCTGTTTTCTTCACCATCTGTCGATGAATGGCAAATGCCACCTCCTCCATGAAGGCCTCCCTCATTCATACCAGTTTGAAGTACTCTCCTCCATGCGGAGCTCCCACTGAATGTTGCTTTTCTCTTCCCCCCAAGGCCTCCTATCTTCTGACATTTTATACCTCACTGCTGGGACAGATCCCTAGGTCCCTGCCGAAGGCCCTGTGATGCCCAGGACCAGCCAGAGGCAGGTGGTATTGAGCCACTTCCAGCCCCTACTTCTGTTGCTCAAGTTACCTAATAGCTGGCCTAACATAACCCCCCAGGATGCACTACCCTTCTCCTTAGAAGGATTGATCAGCATCTCAACCTTTTTTATTCTGATACTCTGTGAAAGCTACCCACCCCCAACTCTACAAGGTCTGGATTCTTGCCTCACTCTTGCCAGTTCTCTTCCCAAAGACCCGAACAATGCCTGGGGGCTGGGGCTTCACTCCCTGAGGCCAACCTCCGTCCTTCTAAAAGTGTCATTGCTCCGGGGCGCCTGGGTGGCGCAGTCGGTTAAGCGTCCGACTTCAGCCAGGTCACCATCTCGCGGTCCGTGAGTTCGAGCCCCGCGTCGGGCTCTGGGCTGATGGCTCAGAGCCTGGAGCCTGTTTCTGATTCTGTGTCTCCCTCTCTCTCTGCCCCTCCCCCATTCATGCTCTGTCTCTCTCTGTCCCAAAAATAAATAAAAAACGTTGAAAAAAAAATTAAAAAAAAAAATAAAAGTGTCATTGCTCCATATTCACCAATGCCATTCAGTTTAACCTATGTGACACTTTGTTCCTTTGCCTCAGAATGTGGTCCAGAAACCACTGTAACTTCCAATACTATGTGTAGCGGACTTAACTCTTCCTTCTTCCCTCCTCCAACCGTCTCTGCCCTGCCCTGCTAAGTCTCCGGGTTCATCACCTGTCAGACTGCATCCTGCACAGTACTGGCACCTTACGTGCACAATCCCGTGTTGTTGTAGTGAGCTGCTTTCTTTTTTTGTTTTAACGTTTATTTATTTATTTTGAAAGAGAAAGAGAGAGAGAGAGAGAGAGAGAGAGAATCCCAAGCAGGCTCTGTGCTAAATGTGAACAAGAGCCTGACACGGGGCTCGATCTCACAAACTGTGAGATCACGACCTGAGCCAAAATCAAGAGTCAGCCAGCTTAACTGACTGAGCCACCCAGGCTGCCCACCTCCACCCAGTGAGCTGCTTTCTTATGTGGT